TAGCAGTACAAGCCTTTCTCAAGAAACAAGAAAGGTCTCAGGTACACAACCTAACCCTACACCTAAAGGAGCTGGAGAAAGAACAAGAAAGAAACCCTAAACCCAGCAGGAGAAGAGAAATCATAAAGATCAGAGCAGAAATCAATGAAATAGAAACCAAAAAAACAATAGAACAAATCAACGAAACTAGGAGCTGGTTCTTTGAAAGAATTAATAAGATTGATAAGCCCCTGGCCAGACTTATCAAAAAGAGAAGAGAAAGGACCCAAATAAATAAAATCATGAATGAAAGAGGAGAGATCACAACTAACACCAAAGAAATACAGACAATTATAAGAACATATTATGAGCAACTCTATGCCAACAAATTTGACAATCTGGAAGAAATGGATGCATTCCTAGAGACATATAAACTACCACAACTGAACCTGGAAGAAATAGAAAGCCTGAACAGACCCATAACCAGTAAGGAGATTGAAACAGTCATCAAAAATCTCCAAACAAACAAAAGCCCAGGGCCAGACGGCTTCCCGGGGGAATTCTACCAAACATTTAAAGAAGAACTAATTCCTATTCTCCTGAGACTGTTCCAAAAAATAGAAATGGAAGGAAAACTTCCAAACTCATTTTATGAGGCCAGCCTCACCTTGATCCCCAAACCAGACAAGGATCCCATCAAAAAAGAGAACTACAGACCAATATCCTTGATGAACACAGATGCAAAAATTCTCACCAAAATACTAGCCAATAGGATTCAACAGTACATTAAAAGGATTATTCACCACGACCAAGTGGGATTTATTCCAGGGCTGCAAGGTTGGTTCAACATCCGCAAATCAATCAATGTGATACAACACATTAATAAAAGAAAAAACAGGAACCATATGATACTCTCCATAGATGCTGAAAAAGCATTTGACAAAGTACAGCATCCCTTCCTGATCAAAACTCTTCAAAGTGTAGGGATAGAGGGCACATACCTCAATATTATCAAAGCCATCTATGAAAAACCCATCGCAAATATCATTCTCAATGGAGAAAAACTGAAAGCTTTTCCGCTAAGGTCAGGAACACGGCAGGGATGTCCGTTATCACCACTGCTATTCAACATAGTACTAGAAGTCCTAGCCTCAGCAATCAGACAACAAAAAGAAATTAAAGGCATCCAAATCGGCAAAGAAGAAGTCAAACTATCACTCTTCGCAGATGATATGATACTATATGTGGAAAACCCAAAAGACTCCACTCCAAAACTGCTAGAACTTGTACAGAAATTCAGTAATGTGTCAGGATATAAAATCAATGCACAGAAATCAGTCGCATTTCTCTACACCAACAATAAGACAGAAGAAAGAGAAATTAAGGAGTCCATCCCATTTACAATTGCACCCAAAACTATAAGATACCTAGGAATAAACCTAACCAAAGAGACTAAGAATCTATACACAGAAAACTATAAAGTACTCATGAAAGAAATTGAGGAAGACACAAAGAAATGGAAAAATGTTCCATGCTCCTGGATTGGAAGAATAAATATTGTGAAAATGTCTATGCTACCTAAAGCAATCTACACATTTAATGCAATTCCTATCAAAGTACCATCCATTTTTTTCAAAGAAATGGAACAAATAATCCTAAAATTTATATGGAACCAGAAAAGACCGCGAATAGCCAAAGGAATATTGAAAAAGAAAGCCAGAGTTGGTGGCATCACAATTCCGGACTTCAAGCTCTATTACAAAGCTGTCATCATCAAGACAGCATGGTACTGGCACAAAAACAGACACATAGATCAATGGAACAGAATAGAGAGCCCAGAAATAGACCCTCAACTCTATGGTCAACTAATCTTCGACAAAGCAGGAAAGAATGTCCAATGGAAAAAAGACAGCCTCTTCAATAAATGGTGTTGGGAAAATTGGACAGCCACATGCAGAAAAATGAAATTGGATCATTTCCTTACACCACACACGAAAATAGACTCAAAATGGATGAAGGACCTCAATGTGAGAAAGGAATCCATCAACATCCTTGAGGAGAACACAGGCAGCAACCTCTTCGACCTCAGCCGCAGCAACATCTTCCTAGGAACATCGCCAAAGGCAAGGGAAGCAAGGGCAAAAATGAACTATTGGGATTTTATCAAGATCAAAAGCTTTTGCACAGCAAAGGAAACAGTTAACAAAACCAAAAGACAACTGACAGAATGGGAGAAGATATTTGCAAACGACATATCAGATAAAGGGCTAGTGTCCAGAATCTATAAAGAACTTAGCAAACTCAACACCCAAAGAACAAATAATCCCATCAAGAAATGGGCAGAAGACATGAACAGACATTTCTGCAAAGAAGACATCCAGATGGCCAACAGACACATGAAAAAGTGCTCCATATCACTCGGCATCAGGGAAATACAAATCAAAACCACAATGAGATACCACCTCACACCAGTCAGAATGGCTAAAATTAACAAGTCCGGAAATGACAGATGCTGGCGAGGATGCGGAGAGAGGGGAACCCTCCTACATTGTTGGTGGGAATGCAAGCTGGTGCAACCACTCTGGAAAACAGCATGGAGGTTCCTCAAAATGTTGAAAATAGAACTACCCTATGACCCAGCAATTGCACTGCTGGGTATTTACCCTAAAGATACAAACGTAGTGATCCGAAGGGGCACGTGCACCCGAATGTTTATAGCAGCAATGTCTACAATAGCCAAACTATAGAAAGAACCTAGATGTCCATCAACAGACGAATGGATAAAGAAGATGTGGTATATATATACAATGGAATACTATGCAGCCATCAAAAGAAATGAAATCTTGCCATTTGCAACAACATGGATGGAACTAGAGGGTATCATGCTTAGCGAAATAAGTCAATCGGAGAAAGACAACTATCATATGATCTCCCTGATATGAGGGAGAGGAGATGCAACATGGGGGGTTAATGTGGTAGGAGAAGGGTAAATGAAACAAGTTGGGATTGGGAGGGAGACAAACCATAAGTGACTCTTAATCTCACAAAACAAACTGAGGGTTGCTGGGCAGAGGGGGGTTGGGGGGGGTTATGGACATTGGGTAGGGTATGTGCTATGGTGAGTGCTGTGAAGTTTGTAAACGTGGAGATTCACAGACCTGTACCCCTGGGGGAAAAATATATATATATATATGTTTATAAAAAATAAAATTATTAAAAAAAAAAAAGATGTATTAGTTGACCCAGTGGACAAAATAAATTGTTCCAACCTGGTTTCAAAAAAAAAAAAAAAAAAAATTTAATTCATGAAATACATTGCAGTATGGATGTATGTTTGAATATGCATAGAAAACATACCTGGAGGGATACCTATTAAACTGTTAACAGGTTGCCATGAGGGTGTGGAATTGGATTAGGGTGAGGAGAAGTGCTCTTATTTTTAAATCCATATGCTTCTGTTTGTTTAAAATTTTACAATGAGAATTCATCACTTTTGTAATATAACCATAGAAATTTTAAAATAAAAGTAGTAACAATAAGTAAAAAATATACATACATAATAGCATCAAGGCAGTGGCAGTGTGGAGAATCAAGTCACATGGCACACTTTTCCACTAATACTGTGGTGGTAAATATAATTGTAGATGATGATCAAAGAAACAACGGCAGAGAAGCCACTTTCAGTAGGATCTCAATTTAAAAAGCCCCCCATGCATAAGCGCTCTTAAGCAGTAGACCCTCCAAGGTGGATATTCAAACCAAAAGCAGGGCTTAACTATTCCTAGAAGATCTGAAGGAAAACTTGTTCGTCTGAAACCTTCAGGCAAAAGGAAAAGCTACACAGAAGTAGTTTGGGGTACTATAGGAGTTAACCAAAGGCCAGAAATTAGGGGTACGAGAACCACCCAGCGCAGACCCAAAACCAAATCACTGAAACCTTAGTAATCTATGGATGTAGAATGGGGACATCTACTTTACCCATTTTTTAAAATAATTTTTCGCAATTTCTCAATCTGCTTTCTGTCTTAATTTTAACCTAAAAATTCTGCAATTTTAGTTGGAATAAAATGAATTCCATTTAGGTTAGGTTTATTCTTCTAGTTAAAAGACCAGAAAATCTTGAGACTAATGATTTTCCATTGTTCATTTTTTTCTCAAAACTGTTTCTAGTTACGCAGTGAACATTTTGGGGAGATAATATCTCTGATTTCTCATGGGTCCCTAAAGTCCTATATTTAAAGAAATCCTTTTCCCCCTGTTTTAGTTTTTTTCTCCTTTTATTGAAGTCATCATAGATGGCAGACTCTTTACTGTTACGAACTTTTTCTTTCAACAAAAGGGAATCTTCAAGTTACTATCAGGCTAATGGTTAAATATCCTCATCAGAGTCAGAACCCATAGGATCCATCTTTTGCAAGCTATATAGTTAAGAGCTTTACTAATATAATTTTGCATTCCTGAAAGAGGGTTATTGACCTAGGGGTCAAAGGCTTATGCAGAATTATGCCCACTGCGTAAGTGAGCAATATGGGAAATTTGACAAAATTTAATCAGAAAATTATTATTATTTAAAGATTTTATTTATTTATGGGGGCGGGGGGAATGGGCAGAAGGGGAGGGAGAGGGACAAGCAGACTCTGACCGAGCTGAACTCAGAGCCAGACATGGACTCAGTCCTGTGACCCTGAGATCATGACATGAGCTGAAATCAAGAGTCAAACACTTAATTGACTGAACCACCCAAGTGCCCCTAATCAGAAAATTACTATAAATAGCAGAGATAAAGGGAATATAGTCCTAATGGCCATACCATTTTTGAAAGACACAACATCTGGAATATTTTTGTTTCCAAATGGATTACATCATTTTAATTAAAAAAAAAATCCAAAGGTTCATCCCATTTAGGATGATGCCTGGTCTACAGTAAACATTCAATAAAAATTGCCTCCATAATTAACAATAAAAATATATGCGCCCCAAAAGGGAAGAAAAGCTTAAAAGCAATTTCCTAGAGCATATATTTAAATAGAAAATCGAAGCTCACAGAGAGCAGCAGGGGACTCTGCATTTTCTGGATCTAGCCTCTGGGCCTGCTCATAGTACTCAACAGCTTGCCTCCGGGCTCCCTCCAGCTTGTAAACAAACCCCAGGGCACTTAAACTCTGCACATCTGATGCATCATGACCAAGACTCTTTACAGCCAGTTGCTTCAGAACACTTATCAGTTTGGGATGGAGGGATGACTGGTCGCTGATCTTTAAGGCCTCTAAATAATGGCGCATGGCAGTACTTTATGATTTATAGTGAAATTCCTGAAAGCGGCCATAGTAGTAGTGGATCTGATGTTTGTGATCATCGGTTATGTTCTCCAGATGAAGGGCTTTCTGGAATACCTCTTCAGCTTTGCTACACTGGCCTGCCTCAACATACATGCTGGCCAGGTCCGTGTAGACAAATGGGAACTTGGAGTCTCGTTGCACAGCTACTTCGAAATGAGATACAGCCATTGTAATAAGCCTGTCCATTCTCAGTTTATCCTCCTCTGTAGGTCTGTTGTCTGTAGGCTTCTTGATTTCAGTCATTTGTGCCCTATAGCAAAGTCCCATGTGGTGATGCAGGAACGAAGACATTGGTGTCACTTTTAAGGCCTTTTTCAAAACTTCAAGAGCTTTGTCCCAGGAATTTTTTCTCCTGTAGAATTTGGCTGTGTAACGAAGGACATGAGGTTGGGAAGATACCTGGTCCAGGATTTCTTCAATATACTTTTCCCCTTCATCTTCTGCTTGTACATCTTGAAGCTTCAGCGCCGGTAAAACCTTAATGTAGGCATTACCTGGATTCAGGGTGACAGCCTTCCTCAGTGGGCCCAGAGAAAAGCTCTTTATACACCCGTGTCGGTCAGTATAGTCCAGCCTGTACACTGTGATGGCATAGCCGATGTTAAATTCTGGATTGTCAGGTTCTGCTTCCAGAGCCTTCTCAAAAGCCACTTTTGCCCTGTGGTAATACTTTCCTCCAAATTTCAAGAGTGCCCACCCTTTCTCACAGTCAATCTCAGGCATTTCCAACTTGTAGTCAGAAGGACTGGACAGTTTCCTACAGACAGTCCCTATCTTGTCTAAATGCTTCTGAGCTGGGGCGCCTGGGTGGCTCAGTGGGTTAAAGCCTCTGCCTTCAGCTCAGGTCATGATCCCAGGGTCCTGGGATCGAGCCCCACATCGGGCTCTCTGCTCAGCGGAGAGCCTGCTTCCTCCTCTCTCTCTCTCTCTCTCTCTCTCTCTCTGCTTACTTGTGATCTCTGTCTGTCAAATAAATAAATAAAATCCTTAAAAAAAAAATCTTTAAATAAATAAATAAATAAATAAATAAATAAATAAATGCTTCTGAGCTTCCTTAAGCTGATCCATGCGATAATACACCCAGGCATAGTTTCCCCAAGTGACCAGACGTCGCGCTTCTTCTCTGTCCAAGTGCTCTCGCTGCATTATGTCTTCTGCTTGTTCCAAGCATTCTAGGGCATCTTCATTTTGGCCTTTTAGGTGTTTCATGTAGGCCAGTAGGTTATAAAGAGTAAGTCTGGATTCTGTGGTGACGAATTCAAGCTGCTGCTCAATTGTATCTTCCACATGAAACAGAATGTCTTCCTTAAGTAAATTTCACATAAAGTGACATTCCAAGTCCAACAGAATGGCCTTCAAGGGGTCCTTGGGAATTTCACTTTCGAAGATAAAATCCTTTTTAAAGTTTTGAAGAAATAAGTCCATTTTTAAACCTTAAACAATTGTTCTCTGCTCAGCAACCAAACTGATTTTCAATTGGAATTTACAGTTGAAGCACTAGGCCCCTCTAACTTTATATTAGTTTCCTCTGTGTACACCTATATCCTAGAAGTATTTCATTAAATTCTCATTATTTATTGCAAAACCAGTTCTGGGAAGATGGCAGGGTATCAGTTTCCTTTTGGCAGTCACTAACTGCCAAATACCACCTATTTTTATGGAGAGAAATTTAAATGTTTTGTTTAATAGCCTTGAAAATTAAGAATCATAGATCTATAAACAAACATAAAAGTCAATAACAAACATAAAAGTTCCATTTCTGTATTATGAGTAGGAAGGGAAAGAAGAACAGTGAAAAATAAGAAAAAGAATACACTGACGGAGATACAGAAGCTGCACCAATATATCATTTTTGCTGAGGGAGGAAGGAAACCCCACAGAGAGAAAAGGCACAGAAACAGGAACAGGTCTACCAAGAGATGGGGAAAGCAGAAGTTGGAGGTAGACAAAAAGGAGAGTAACAGATTTCAAAGAAGATAAGGAAAAGGCAAAAGGAGACTGAGTAATAAGCTCAGTAGGGGTTTTTTTTTTTTTTTAAGATTTTATTTATTCATCTGAGAGAGAGAGAGTACAAGCAGGGCCAGAGGGAGAGGGAGAAGCAGATCCCCGCTGAGCCAGGAGTCGATGGTCCCAGGAACCTGAGATGATGACTGAGGGCAAAGGCAGATGCTTAACCATCTGAGCCACCCAGGCACAGCAGCTCCGTAGGCTTTGCTATAAGTGCCGTGTCCTTCTGTCCTCTGAGGTTGTGGTCAGGAGTAAAGGCTAAGACCTATTACGATCTTATCAGTGCCCTTAATATTCACTTCACATATATTTGCCAAGCTCCCTTTGTGCGAGACCCGGTATAATTTCTGCAGAGCCTACTGGAAACCAGATATCTGAAGCTAGGAAGATGAAGGGGGAAAGGAAGGGAAAGGAAATATTTATTTATTACGGATGGCCTTCTATGTGCAAGGTCTTCTACATAACACTGGGGATGGAACCCTGAATGAGACAAAGCCCTGCTTGTACAGAGCTTATACATACATAATCACTGACAACTCAGCATTCCAGCCAAGGTCCATGGAAGTGACCCAGAAAGTGTACACAGTCCAGGGCTGTGGACATCAATGGCTTTGATTTGGTGAGGATCCCTTCTCTTGGATTTCGTTTCTAGAACATCCTCTCCCTCTACTCTCGGTGCATATGATTTGAGATAGGCTGTCCACCATTCACTCCAGTCTGGGAAGGTACAAGTTTTTCCTGCCGTTCCCTGGTCCCAGTGATTTACTCAGAGATAGTCCCATTAAAATATCATTTTGCTGAAATGGGACTTTGCTAGAACTATGTCTCTTCCTTCTAAAAATTTTAAGCTGGTAGAATATCAGTTTGGATTTGCTGGTGGGCATCTTCCCAAACTTGAGGACAGCCTGCCTGAGAAGGAATCTGACAGAGCGGAAAGTGGAGCTTCGACAGGTGGAAGGTCAGGATGCCCAAGATAGTGACTTAACAGCCTTGCCTGAATCACCCTGTCTACTCCTGAACTACTCTTCACCTGAAGAAATAACTCTCTCTTTGTTTAAGCTAGTTTGAATTAAGTGTCTATTATCTGCAATGGACAAAGTCCAGATTAATACTCATCCTTTTACTTGTTTGTTTTGTTGATGGTGGTGGCGAGGCAGTCAGGAAAGACTTTCTCAATCTCCCACTGGCCACGATTAAGAAATATACAGAAAAAAAAAATCCCTTAAGGCTTCTTTCAAACAGAGAAGTGCCCTGCTTATATGATGAACAGGATATAATGTGTGTGAGAATGTGCATGCATGTTTCCCTTTCCACTGCACACAGGACTCCCACCCCAACACGTGTTCATGTGAATGCTTATGGGAACTGTAGTACTACTTCCATCAAAACATTTATCGACCATGTCATGTCATCCATGCCAGGCAATATTCTAGTTGAAGTGGATAAAGTAGTGAGCAACTAAGTTTGAAAAATGCCCTTTCTTGATGGTGATTTCATTCTTCCAGTCCCATCCATGTTGCTACAAAAGTTGGGTATTCATCCTTTCTGATGGAGGCATAATACTCCATAGTGTATATGGACCACATCTTCTTTATCCATTCGTCCGTTGAAGGGCATCTTGGTTCTTTCCACAGTTTGGCGACCGTGGCCATTGCTGCTTAAACATTGGGGTACAGATGGCCCTTCTTTTCACTACATCTGTATCTTTGGGGTAAATACCCAGAAGTGCAATTGCAGGGTCATAGGGAATCTCTGTTTTTTATTTCTTGAGGAATCTCCACACTGTTTTCCAAAGTGGCTGCACCAACTTGCATTCCCACCAACAGTGGAAGAGGGTTCCCCTTTCTCCACATCCTCTCCAACACACGTTGTTTCCTGTCTTGCTAATTTTGGCCATTCTAACTGGTGTAAGGTGGTATCTCAATGTGGTTTTAATTTGAATCTCCCTGATGGCTAGTGATGATGAACATTTTTTCATGTGTTTGATAGCCATTTGTATGTCTTCATTGGAGAAGTGTCTGTTCATATCTTCTGCCCATTTTTTTTGTATGATTGTCTGTTTTGTGTGTGTTGAGTTTGAGGAGTTCTTTATAGATCCTGGATATCAACCTTTTGTCTGTACTGTCATTTGCAAATATCTTCTCCCATTCCATGGGTTGCCTCTTTGTTTTGTTGACTGTTTCCTTTGATACAGTCTTAAAAAAAATCCCTCTGGTTGCTCTGTGGAGAATGGACAATAGGAGGGGCTCAAGAAAGGAAGTTGGGAATCTGACGGAGAAGTGTGTATTCAACAAATACTTATCCAGAGCATTTATTCAGGGCACTGTTCTTTTCTTTTTTTAAGATTTTATTTATTTATTTGACAGAGATCACAAATAGGCAGAGCGGCAGGTAGAGAGAGGGGGAAGCCAGCTCCCCGCTGAGCAGAGAACCCGACATAGGGCTTGGTCCCAGGACCCTGAAATCATGACCTGGGCTGAAGGCAGAGGCTTAACCCACTGAGCCACTCAGGCGCCCCATCAGGGCACTGTTCTAAGTGTTGGGATACAGCGGTGAACAGAACAGAAAAAAAAGGGAAAAAAGGCCGGACTTCATATATCTTACATTCTAATGAGGGGCCAGGGGTGGGGAGGGTGTGCCATAAGAAGACCCCCAAGAGGCAAGAATATACAAACGGAGAAAGACAGTCTCTTCAACAATTGGTGCTGGGGAAGCTGGACAGCTACTTGGAAAAGAATGAAACTGGATCACTTTCTTATACTATACACAAAAACTCAAAATAGGGGTGCCTGGGTGGCTCAGTCGGTTGAATGACTGACTCTTGGTTTTGGCTCAGGTCATGATCTCAGGGTCGTGGGATCCAGCCCCATGTCAGGCTCTGCACCCAGCACCCAGAGTCTCTCTCTCTCCCTCTGCACCTCTCCTCTCTCATACACTTGGGCGCTCTCTCTCTCTAAAGAAATAAATAAAAATAAATTTAAAATATATATAAAATAATAATAATATAAATAAATAAATAAATAAATAGAATTAAATAAATAAAAATAAAAAGTTTTAACCATGAAATTTTTAATGACTTAATGATATGCCAGTGGGAATGATCCAGTATCAAAATAAATAAATAAATAAATAAAATATAAAAAATAAAAATAAATAAAATCTTTTTAAAAAATTAAAAAATAAACTCAAAATGGATTAAAAACCTGAATGAAGACCTGAAGCCGTGAAACACCTAGAAGGAAATATAGAAATTACTGCCTATATTTTCTATATTTGCCTATATTTTCATCAGCCATAGAAACATTTTTCTAGACATGTCCCCTCAGGCAATGGAAACAAAAGCAAAATACACCAAAATAAAAAATTTTGCACGGCAAAGGAAACCATCAACAAAATGACGAGGCAGTCTACTGAATGAGAAGAGATATTTGCAAATGATATATCTGATAAGGGGTTAATATCCAAAATATATAAAGAACTTATAGAACTCAATACCAAAAAACCCAAATAATCTGATTAAAAATGGGCAGAGGACCTAATAAAGACATTTTTCCAAAGAGGGCATACAGTTGATCAGGAGACACATGAAAAGATGCTTAATAACACTAATTAGGGAAATGAGAACAGCAGAGTTTCCTGACAAATTTAAAATAGAATTAACATATGATCCACTACAGGGTATTTACCCAGAAAATATAAGAACACTTACTTACTTACTTATTTTTAAAGATTTTATTTATTTATTTGACAGAGAGCACAAGCAAGGGGAGCAGTAGGCAGAGGGAGAAGGAGAGCAGGATCCCTGCAGAGCAGAGAGCCTGATGTGGGGCTTGATCCCTGGGATCATGACCTGAGCCAAAGGCAGACGCTTGTCTAAGCCACCCAGGTGCACCAGAACACTAATTTAAAGGGATACACACACCCCTATGTTTATCACAGCATCATTTACAATAGCCAAATTATGGAAGCAGCCCAGGAATGCATCAATAGATGAATGGATCAGGAAGATGTCAAGATACACAATGGAGTATTACTCAGCCATAAAAAAAGAATGCAGTCTTACCATTTGCAGGAACATGGATGGAGCTAGAGACTATAATGCTAAGTAAAATAAGTTTGAAAAAGACAAATACTGTATGATTTCACTCATAGGTGGAATTCAAGAAACAAAACAAATGAACAAAGAAAAATAGACAAATGAAAGTCCCAGACTCTTAAATACAGAGAACAAACTGGTAGTTGCCAGAGGGGAGGTAGATGAGGGGCTGGGTGAAGTAGATTAAAAAAAGAAGTAGTAGAAGAAAAATCCATGATGTCATGAAAGCCTAAGGAAGAAATATTTATTTCAGAAAGGACGGATGGATATCAATATGTGCAATGACTCTAAGAGGTTGAGTGATTGAGGACAGAGAAGAGATCACCGCTTGTGCTGGAGCTGTGGGGGACCTTGATGAGCATTTTACTAGAAAGGCAGGGATGAAAACATTCTGGTTGGAGGGACAATGGGAGGTGAAAAAGTGGATATGGGGAAATACAGGCCACTCTTTTCAAGGAACTTTACTATTTTTTTTGCAATTTTTTATTATTATTTTTATTAACATATAATGTGTTATTTGCCCCAGGGGTACAGGTCAGTGAATCATCAGGCTTACGCACTTCACAGCTCTCACCATAGCACATACCCTCCTCAATGTCCATAACGCAACCACCCTCTCCACCCTCCTTCTCCCTGGCAACCCGCAGTTTGTTTTGTGAGATTAAGAGTCTCTTATGGTTTCTCTCCCTCCCGATCCTATCTTGTTTCATTTTTTCCTTCCCTACCCCCCAAACTCCCACCCTGCCTCTCAAATTCCTCATATCAGGGAGATCATATGATAATTGTCTTTCTCTGATTGACTTACTTCACTCAGCATAAAATACCCTCTAGTTCTATCCACGTCATTGCAAATGGCAAGATCTAATTTCTTTTGATGGCTACGTAGTATTCCATTGTGTGTGTGTGTGTGTGT